CTACTACTACCACTACCAGTACCAGTACCAGTACCAGTACCAGTACCAGTACCAGTACCAGTACCAGTACCAGTACCAGTACCACCACTACCACTACTACCGCTACTGTACTACTACAATTACTACTACCCTTTTCTACTGCTGCTACGACTACTACCGGTTACGACCGCCTCTGCTCCTGCTCTTGCTCCCACCACCACAAGCATGAACGCATGAACCACTTTGAAAGGAAGCCTTTGCCATTCGAGAACTCTTTGCTCGCAGATACACCAAACCAGAACAAGGACTAACAGCCCCGTACATGAATCAGGTTGCAATCTCATACGAATATAAATAAAGAAAGAAATATATGTATATGTATCTACATATACATACATACCTATATGCATACATGCATACATACATATGAAATATTTGGTTTTGCCTTGTTCACATGCATATACACACCAGGCACGCTTGAACGTAAAGAGACAGCACGTAGATTCAGCTATGCATGTATGTGCATATGCAGGCAGGTTTTCTGCCCGTATATATGTCAAAAACGCAAACGTTCATACATCCACACATACATGCATACATACATACATACATAGATACATGCATTCATTGACTTCACCCATATGTATACATACATATCAATATGTACATGCACATGGGTATGTATGTATGTATGCATGTATGTACTTACTGTATGCGTGGGCTTCGTTGTAAAACCACCACCATGCATGAAAAGCCGGTGCCTCGGCACCCAGGCGTCGACTGGGTGATGGAGCGAGTAGACCTTCCAACCTCAAATGACGCGGAATCAAAGCGTCCGGTTTCGACTCTCACACTCTCCCAAGGCAGGAAAGGCTTCACGACCTGCGGCTTAGGGATGCTTAGGGTTCAAGTTAAGGGTTGAGCTAGGCTTAAGAGGCTGATTGAGAGCATCAGGGCTATCACGCAAAGTGTGGACCATGCTTCATCGGCACCCACCCGGTCACCGCCACGGTCACTATCAGTAGCAGTAGCACCACCAACTCACATACACCACCATCATTTACCACCAGCGCCGCACTGCCATCACCGTCGACATGAAGATGAGCATCATCACCATCACCAGCCGCTTGAGTCTCCGCTATGATCGTTGTCAGCTTGGTTGCTGAGCCCCTAGCAATGCCAGCAGCGCACCGTGCTGTGGGAGAACTCGCTGTTGCAGGGGCTTTGCCATGTTGATCACCTCCTGAGCCTCCCAGCCGACGGCATGCTTCGGCCCCGCTGACCAGCTCCCATGCTCGAAACTAGATCACTGACTCGTCAAGTAGGCAAAGCCCGAAAGAAACATGCAAGGCTTTGAGGGTGCTTTCGACAAGAAGTTGGCCGCCCTGAGGGAAGACTAGTTGCAGCCGGCCCTAGATCTGGCAGTTTTTGCCACGCAGCACCTCGTCGATAAACTTGCGGTTCAGCCGCAGACAGCCTTCAGGATAAATACCGTTCAGCTTTGCAGGCAACACACTGTTCTGGTTTCCTGCTCTGCGCTTCAAGCCTGGAAGTGCCATTGGTCTGCGAAAAGCAACGCAGGTTAAAGAGATAGCCAAACACTTTCAATGGTGTGTTTTGTGCTGCAGCAAGAGGAACCGTCGCTTGCAGTTTGCTATATCCATGTCTGGTCATGCACTGTATCATTACATCATTCTTCCGGTCAGTATTCTCAGTCATGACACTGGAGCTTTTCATGCTCTACGACATAAGTTCGTTCTGTCGGAAGACTTCCCTTTGTCTGCGGCATTTGCATGGTTATGCGCCGGCATTTCCGTAGTTTTGCCTACGCCGATTACAACGCTTTTTTCCTACTACTGTCCAAGACCCACACAAGGCGCGGAAGTATAAGGCACGGACCTTGGCTATCGACGGAGACATCCTCTGGCAAGCTGCCACCTGCAGCATGCATTGCCCAACGCAGGCTCAGGCTTTCAATATTGCTGACAAAGAGAAGACGCTGTCTTCAAGTCAAGGACAAGGTGTAACAATCAAGCGTGCACATCTTCTCCTTCTTCGTCATGGTGATACTCAACATGATTGTAACATCATCATCACCCAAACTCTGAAACTCCCCAAACCCTTTAAGCCTTAGTGCCGTTCCCTGACCTCCCTCAACCCACCGAACCCCAGGCAGAGAACCTGCGGCAGCACTGCGCAACATCTCGCGTGGAAGCTCGCCTTAGATGAACGCCAGGGCAGTTTCTGCGCGGGTTCGGTGTGGAAACTACAGAAGCATCTCTGTTGGTACTGGTGGCGTTGTCGCTTCAACTCCATACGAGTATCAAGCAAAGCGTCCGATCAAGCGCTCCATCAACGCCAGGTGGTGAAGGCTGTTGTTCACCGGGAAAGGGCGCTCGCCAGTGTAGAGAGTTAGCAGGATGCAGCCGAGACCTGCGTGCAAAGCAACCGGCGACAGTGGTCTCCATCGATCTAAGGACAGCATTTCTTTGTGCAGCGAGGGCCCTTGGTAGGGCAGCAACCCAAACTCACAACAGCCAGTCCCCTCGCTGAATCCCCAACTTCAACTGAGGTCGCGGCTCCACACCTCAGCTCGGGTCCAGAGCCGACAGCGATTCAAAGGCCGAGCTTTCAGAGATGCAACTAGCCAGTGAGGCTCAAACCTAATTACTCTAGAGCTGCTTCCGAAGGAGCCGGACAGCATGAGCCCAGAGCGCTGCCGCTCATGAATCTGCAAGTATTGAGCTTTCGGCTTGCACTCAAGGAGACCACAATCATCATTATCGTGACGGCTTATGCTGCTGGGAGTTGCAACCTTGCCAAGCCACATCTGTCTTCTCGTCCCACGCAAGTCCCAGAACCACTTCCGGAGATCTGTACTGCCTCGTCCCGACTCGCTTGCTGTGCCGCTCTTTCTTCAGCCTGGGTGACGGATCTGTCCGTGAGGAACTTCAGTGTACGTGGTCAAGGGTACTTGCAGCACTGCAGAGCAAAGAAATGCAAAGAATGCAGGGCGTCTTGGAATGGCCATGCTCGACGGAGCCAGGTGGCACAGCACCGCCGAAGTCGATCACTCGAACTTCCTTACATCGACGGGCTTCGTCAAATCTTGCTCAAACGTGGGAAAAGCCTGCTGCAAAGAATCGCATCGGTGGAGCTTCTTCGTTTCCCGCCCTGGCTTGCGTGGGTGGGGCACCTTGGCCGACACAACTTTCATGTAGCGATATGGCATCCATGACTTGCTATTGTACCGACAAGCACTGAAGCCGAAACCACTCTAGCTACGGCCAATCTTGGGGAGGCCAATTGTTTGAAGCTTCCGCATCATTCTGAGAACGGCACGCGCTCACCTCTGGAGTCCTTTAGCATGGCATTTCGGCATTTGATGTCCTGGGCCATGGACCATGTGAAACGGGGCTCGTCGCACAAGCTTGCATGACTCCCAACACTACATGTTCTATGCATCTTCGCGCCACATTCAACATGAACGTGTGCGTGTAAAGACTGCAAGAGCGAAGGCTCTATTTGTGCGATGCTCGCCGCTCGAAGCTGCAACTCCAGAGCATTCAACATGGTGCAGGCCAGCATCGGTATGAGTCAGGTTCATGGCATTCAGAAAATGCAGACACTGGAGGATCTGTGAAGCAATCGTCCTGATGTCTCCTGGACGTGCTGCTGACACCAAGGAAGGTTCATCTATCGTGCATGGATAAACAACACTGAAAAGCAAGACTGAAACGACGTAGGGCCACGGATATAGCAGTGCCGCAACATGGTTTTGTGCTTTGGTGCAGGCCTGTGCACCGAAGCAAACGCACACATCATCTTCATGGTAGCATCTATACCGGACTTCAGGCTCTTGAACCAAAGTCCCTCGTCATTGCATCCCCCGGATCAAAAGAAGGCCTCGAATTCCCGCCTTCGGCTACGAAAAACTCTTCAACGCCAATAAGGACCCACAGATGGGCCCGAAGCCCCAAGCAGCCAAGAGGCTGAGCATCAGCCCCTCGTCACCGGTTTCTCCTAAGCTCTGCTCCCGAACCCTTCCTCTCCCAATCCCATGGGGTTCGTGCACGAACGAAGTCGCGAAAGCCGGTTTGGGCTCCTAGAGCTCGGCAAGTCTCCGAGGCATTCAAAAAGGAAGCGGAATCTTCGCCAGGAGGGTGGCTTCTCTTATCCGCTGAAGACTGGCTGGGCTTATACTGGGAATTTCTTCGATGTTTCTGATGTTATTCGGCCTGGTGCCTAACAGCATAGGAGCTTCGCTGCGAAACTAGCCACACTGTGCTACACCCTGGGCTGCGCTGAGCAAGGATCGCATGAAGTCGCTGAGGCTCTTGTCCAGCAGCTCCTCAGCAGGCACCGGTCTCCGAAGCTTCCCGGTTGGGCCTATGCATGCCTATGCCACTGCCTCATGTATGCTTAATTATCGGAGTTTATCCTTCATGTTGACTTTCTTCCTGTGTTCCTTTCTTATTTTGGTTCATGACCTTTTTACACATGTGTAGACAAGCTTATGATCACTGCCACTTAGTCAAACGCTTGCGCGCCCTTCCTTGAAGAAGTTTCAATGTTGTACCAAGTCCACCGAATTTCAGATCAGCATTGTGCTACTGTCAGAAGCAATTTCGGGATGGGGTTTCGGGCTGGAGTTTAAATCCTCAGCAAGAGATTTGCATCTCAAGTTCGATGCATCTGATTTCCCCTCCACAGCCGCGCGACTAGGTAAGTACCTCTCCAACTCACAACAGTGTCCTGTGTTGGTGGTTGGCAGGCTCCAAGCATCATCACATCCAACCATATCAGCAACGGAAGGCAAACAGAGCTAACGAGGCGGACAATCAGCAACGGAGAGGAAACACAGCTGGCGAGGCGGGCTCCAGGCGTTCTCACAATACAACCAGGTGTGCGATCTTGAGCGCGCATGCCCTCGATTATTTTTGCATGGGTCTACTTCTGCATTTTGCGCTGCGGTGGCCTCATGGCAGCAGGGTGTAGGGGTTTTCTTTGGTTAGGCCTCCCCTTTCATGTGGGTTGGTGTGTGTGTGTGTGTGTTGCAACCCACAAGTTGGTGCACCTCCATCCTTTTTGCCGTGCAGTTCAACCCCAGGTTGGATCCGTAGTCAGGCTACTGCATATCCCACAATACAACCAGAACCGCATCAGTAACGTGGGGCGAAACAGAGATGGCATCATCACCTCCGGCACATCCAACCACATCAAC